ATGCATAAACAAGTAAATAATTGATGGGATTTCAGGCTATTCATGTTGACAGACGACTAAGATGGAAAGCTTGTGGTAAGCACCATGCAATATCTCTCTCAATATCTCCGGTTCTTATCAGAACCACACAGACTCAATAAGAGATATTGCATGGTGCTTACCGCAAGCTTTCCATCTAAGTAAATAATTATAATAAAAGGTCGGATCCCGGGTCAAGAAAGGAATGCGGCTACAAGGTTACACTAATGTACATCTATACAAAGTACCATGTGGCTGCTACAAATGTAGTTACATAATATGCCTCGCTAGTCAATGGCTCACATCTCCCCGGCGTAAATCCATCCTTCAAATAGTGTTCCATAGTTGTTTGGCTGGCACACGTCCAGCAGAGGTTGTTGTGGCGGGAAATCGTTGACTAGCGAGGCATTATGTAACTTCATTGAAGTGGAACAAAGAATCTACATGCAGGAATTTCCCATAGCTTTCCGTCGTTGCGCAATGAATACTACTGGATTGGATGCTATATATGCGCCTGGGAGTGTGCCCCAAGTAAGTACGCCACGTACGCTAAGTACGCTGCCTTGACTACTTATCTTCGATCATCCTATAGAGGAATGTTTTATTCCTCCATGCGCGTCTCAACGGTGACGGTATCCGACGGAACGTCGCAACACTGAGTGGTAAGCAGATCTTTTGATAGCAACGTTGATGCATTTTATTCCTAGGCTTCAAAAATTCAGATCAGTTTATGTTATGCGAAGTTAACGGTAGCCGTTTAGATCAAAATGAAGCGGACGACAGTCACTGGGATGTGCAGCAATGTCATGCTCGTAATTTAGTCACGGGCGTGACAGAGCCATACCCAGAAACACAGACGGTCCGCAAAACGTGAAGACGCAGACACTCAGGAACGGAATCATTCTACCCAATAATTGAAACAAAGTGGCGTCCGACACTCCGCGACTTTAGCTGAAAATACCCTTTTAGACTCAGTGTACCGCGTCTTGATGCCAAACGTGTACTCCATTTTCCTGCATTTCGTTAATGGTCAGCTATTTAATTGACCATGAGGGTGTAATTGTGGCAGAGGCAATTTCCAGTTGTACTTTATTATACATGTAGGAGTGTTACCCTCAAAGGTTTTGTGGTTAATGTGACACCCCCTTTACACCTTGCATCATCCTCGTGGGAGTTAAGTTGTGCCCCTTGGTTTTAGCTGGGCAGCACCTTAGGGCATGCAAATTAGGGCATGGACACTTCCCTGACCATGCCTTTTCCAAGTAGCCTCTCAGTTTGCAGGCCGGCAGTGAAGTGAGCACACCACATGTTTTTCTTGCTCCTTCTTTATTCGCAAATTCTGCCTCGAAAATCTGGTCTGCTGTAGACTTGGTTGTTTAAGCTTGAGTGCTTTTGATTTGTAACTTTCCTTTTAAGCACTGTTGTCGTTCTTTTTCTTCTTCTTTTTTTTCTTAAAATTTACTCTGGTCTTTTTGTTGTCTTTTGGTTTTCTTATTTTATTGAAGTTACTTGATTCGTTCATCCTTTTTTGTACTTTTACAGTTTGGTCTATGGTTTTGTTCAAATGTTGATGGTCTCGATCAGGTTGGTATAGGTTTTCTAGGTCTCAGTCCGTTTGTTGAAGTCTTCAATTAAAACCAGGGTAGGTAATTTTTAAAATTTGTTTAGCGAAATTAATTTGGTTCATAGATTTAGCAGTCCGAATACAGTCTGAGGAAATAAACCATTTTTAATTTTTTGTGCGGAAATTTAAACTCTGTAGTTTTATTTGTAGAGTAATCTCGCGATCCCTCCCTGAAAGATTTCAGCTATTTTTTGTTGCCATAAAACGAGTTCCCCACACGTTTAGATTTTTTCTTTTATTTTTTTTTCCCTTTATTGATCTGAAGCTTTTTTTTCCCTTTATTGATCTTAAGCTTTTTTTCCATGTTACATAATGTTTAAGCATTTAGAAGAAAATGGACAAATTCGTGAAACTGTTAAAGCGAGAGGGAGATCGTCGCACGCCGATCATGCTAGCATGCATGTTTGTATGGGGATACCACGTCTACTAGACGCAGATAATCGGCAAAGTTGAACCTGGCTGAACATTGCCGATCGTTCGCAGGCTGGTTTGCGTTTGTCTGCGTTGTCGGCGACACCTCCGTTTCCCGTGCTTCCCAAGTGATCAAAATACATGTAGTGTGTGCACCAATGTGGATTGCCCCTTAGCAGAACTAGTGATCTCTACAAGTTAACCTCTATGTCTCCCCTGTTAATGGGGTAACTCTGCCTTTCCTTCGATTTTATCTCGACTCGTATTGCGGACTCTACTGGAAAAATTGGTGGAGAGAACTCGATCTACGTGTCTTGCAATCGGTTGTCACCAGTATACATGTATATGGCAGGCATTACCCTTGCAAGCCACATGCTGGTCAATTTAAGTGGAAAGGGTCCTGCATAAACATGTACATGTACAATCATGTGCTTGATATGGTTACGTTGATTATACTTATTCATGTAGATTGCTTTAATGTTGTTGTTGAGTCCATCTAGCTCTACACATGTACTTTATCTGGGTTATCCCCTTGTTATACTGTTTTGATTTCCGGAGAGAGAACCGTTTGCAAAGTTGGCGGAAGTCCTCCAAAAAAGAAGAAATGAATCCCAAAACACGAAAATGCATCAATGACGACAGCCCTTCACAAATCACAAAAACCCGTCACCAATTACAATTAATCGGTGGTGACAGAACATCACCGATAGCGAAAGTCCATCCGTCACCGATCGCAAAAACCCATCACCGATCGAAAAAAACATCATCGATTATACAAGTTGATCGGCGGTAGTGAAGCACCATCACGATTGCGAAAGTCCACCAAAGATCGCGAAAGTCCATCACCGATCACAAAAAAAACATCACAGATTACAGAGCTGATCACCGGTAGTGAAACACCACCACCGATCGCAAAAGTCCACCAACGATCTCAGAAACCCATCACCGGTTCCGAAATTGCATCAACGATGGAAACGCCCATCACTGCTAGTGAATATACATGTACATCACTAGCTGACGGTGATCACCGATCGTGAATATGCATCACCGATTGCTAAAGTGCATCACCGATTCGGCATTCACATTAAATGCCTCTTGGGCGTTCCATACCGCAGACTGCCAAGAGAGTTCCCGAGGATAGTGGTCGGCATGTTTTACTACGTACCCTCCCAATGGCCCGTCAGCGTTGACGCTTGTGGAGCATTTGTGTGCTACCACTAATGCATTGCTAACTAAGCAACCAAGAAGCGGTATCATTATACTTCGTGACTTCAGCAGGTTGGATGTTAGTCCGGTGTTGTCAATGAAAATGCAGCAAGTGGTAAAGCAATCAGCGCAGAATGGGGCAATGCATGTACTTGATAAGATCATTACAAGTATGGCTGACGTGTATCAGGAACCTGAAATCATTGCACTTGGCTTTAGTGACCATCGGTGTGTAATGTTTCCCCTTGTGAGCGAGTCCTGCCAAAAATTGAGACGAGCAGTGAGACCCATGCCTGACAGTAAAATTTGGCAGTATGGGTCCTGGATTTTGCAGCATGATTGGTCAGAAGTGTATGTAGCCAACGATGTCAACGATAAAATGCACAGGTTTCTATGACACAATCCCGAGGTCTCTTGACCTGTTTTTTCCAATGAGAACTGTTACAATGCATCCTACTGATAAGGAAACGACTCGTTTTGAAGCGTCCGGCGGTGTATTATCAAAGCAAGGTGCTGGTTGAGAAACAAGGTTCAACTTGACATAAAACGAGCCAAGGCCACCTATTACACTGATCGTGTGCAACATCTTGAAATGAGTAACCCGAGTGAGTGGTATAAATGGTATAAACACATTTGCGTAATGACAGGAAAGACGTCGAATTTTTCTCTTGGTATTCCTGACATAGGCCACTCTGACCATCGTGCGATTGCAAGAGCTATTTGCGATCACTTTTCATCTGTTGCTGCGGAGCTTGAACCAGTTGACCGGTAATCACTGCCAGCCTTTCATCCGTGTCTCTCCCGATGCCTCCCGTGAACACGTGGGAAACTTTCAAGCTATTACAAGCTAAAGGTCCAAATCGTGTGGTCCTGATGGCATTTCATCACGCTTTATGACACAGTTTGCGCTTGAACCACTGACTGATGTTATTAATGCATCATTAGACAACTAACAGTTCCACAGCAGTGGAAAAGTGCAAACGTGGTGCCCATCCCAAAGTCCACTCCTCCTTCTCTCAGCAACCTCCGCCCCGTAGCCTTGACGGACACCTTTGCGGAGGTAGCCGAGCACTTTATTACAAAACGTGGCCTTGGTGCTATGGCGCCTAATCTAGATCATGCACAGTTCGGAAACCTTAAGGGAGTTTCAACTACGCATTGCATTTCGGTTTTCAACTACCACATACAGAGATAGGGTTTTGTTGTTGTTGTTGTTGTTGTTTTTGTAATGGGGGAAGGGGTAACTTGTTTTGGGAGGCATTTAGAAATTTGCAACGTGTAATGGCATTTTGAAGGGTGAGGCTACAATTGGGAGACTGTTCTAAGCTTTTTGAAGAAATCGTGTGAAATAGATGAAAAAATAAATTTCACCTTTCATGATTTTTTTTCAAAAATAAAGTCGATCCCGGGGTGTTGGCCCCCGTCATCCACTAGGACCCAGCCTCCCTCATTCTCTCTGCCCCTGCATCTACTCCCTGTAATTCAAAGTTTCAGTGCACATTGCTACTGTCTCAAAACAGTTTGTGTGTCTTGGAGCATTGGCGACCCGCAAGCGACATCATA